ATATATATATATATATATAAAAGACATAAATATTTAAATGAAATGGCAGAAAATGGGCAAAACACTTCAATGAAGGCAAATCCAAATGGCCACTAACCTTATGAAGATATGTTCAACCAACATATCTCAGAAAAGAAAAAAATATTTGGAGTTAAAAATTCACTGCAAGGATTTAACAGCAGATTAGATACAGCTAAAGAAAGAATTTGCAAAATAAATTTAGAAAAAAGATATGAAGAAATTATCTCAGAATGCAGAACAGAGAAACAACAAATGTCTGATAGAATGGCAAGATTCAGTAGGAACTTTCAGATGTTGCTACTGGGTATAACCACTTTGGAAAACACAGGGACATTGTCTAGTAAAGTTGAACATGTGCATACAATGCCAATCTTAGGTATATTCCTTTTAGATCCTCTTGTACATGCATTTAGGAGTCATGTACAAAAATGTGCAAAATAGCTTATTTGTAATAGCCCCAAACTGAAAACAAACCAAATGACCATCAGCAGAATAGATAAATAAATTATGATATTGTCATATAATTGTCAAAAATTAAAAAATTAAACAGTATATGTGATAACATGGTTGAATCTTATAATTACAATCTTGAGTAAAAAAAAGAAGTCCAAAATAAAATGCTTTCAATATGATTCCATAGAAATAAAATTCAAAACAAACTAAATTTTGTTAAGGAATACCTGTTCAGGTTATAAAATTGAAAGAAAAACAAGAAAACAATTATTTTAAAAAAATCAAAGTAGTTGTTACCTCCACTGGGAAGGAAGAAGATGTGACCAGTGAGACATACACAAGGTTGGAAAGGTCTTTTGAGAAGAAGAAAAACAAAAAAAATTAGCTTGGAAACAGTCATTAAACTTCTAAAACAAATATCAGGACATATGCATGAAGCTGTATTTAGAAAAAAGTTGCTTGTTGAACTATTCATAATAGCAAAAACATTAATACAGGGTTGAAAAAATAAATTGTACCACAAGGGAATACTACAATGATGTAGATCTGTATTTATTGATATAACTGTCATATATTCTTAAATAAGAGGCTTTTAATGAGTTTGTATGTGCCCTCATTTTTAGAAGTTAAAAAATACTAATTACCTACAAGAACTGACAAAAGTAACTGGAAAAATAGATACCAAAATACTAACAGAAGCTATCTCTGGATGGTGAAATTATTGTCAATCTCTTTTTTGTCTTTATACTTAACTGATATTTCTGAACTTTTTAAGGTGAGCTTACAGTGGCCTCTCATTTATAATTGTTTTGGAGTGAAGCAACAAGAAATTAATACCATTTAAAAACTACATTTGCACAAAATTCATAGTATTAGATACTCCCACAAAATATTTTTGGGGGGTTTTGTGAAAGTTCCATAGTTAGGAATTTGGCCAGTCAAGGGTATGAAATAATGACACTACTCATAGCTTTATGTAGGGTAATTGCCCACTTCATTCGCCACTTGACTCTACTTTTCAGGAAGACTGGGATTCCCCTCTTAATTTTTTTCCCTAGATGTCCTTTTCCTTTGATAGTAAAGTCAAAGTCTTTCTAATTATGACTAGAAAGCAATATTTAACATTGCAGAGAGATGCCTAGATAAAGAAGGAGGTAGACTCTTAGCATCTCACTGGCATCAAGTGGCAAAATAGGTGGATTTCATCCAGGTCTCATCAGAAATAGTAAATCACATCAGAACAATAAATATTACACACACCTGAGATTAAAGAAGGTGCTAAATTTGACATATCTCTGGGTATAGAAAAAACAGACTACAAGAATTGCTTGACTAAAGATGGAGGAAAAAATGCAACTAACTTAAGAACAAGAGTATGTTACAGCTATAATGGATGCTGCCTTTAGTTTCAGGGGGATTAATTTTATTTATAAACATTTAGTATATTTGCTTCTCTATCATAAACAGTTTATTTCTTGTATGCAATAGGTAAAAGAAAACAATGATTTTGCTTTCAATTGATTCTTTGAGTGTAGTATGAGCTTTATATATTAACTTTCATTTCTTAGTTACCTATCGCTTTTTAAGAACTGAATTATAAGTAAATTGATGGGTGTGATCATATAAAAGATTTAAAATTCTTTGAAGTACAACTGTCTCCCAACAGTAAAGTTGTTTTGCTTTGGTTTGATAGCATTCCTGGCTAAGATCCTTCTGGACTTAAAATATCAAGGTTTTACTCAGTAATTACTTGCTTTCTCTTCTCCTTTAGCCTTAACTTTATCTGAAACTGTTACAAGAAAAATAAAGGTGGTAGAGTTCATTCAAGTACCATAGGTATTTTGATTTTAGCATGGTACTTAAATTGTTTTTTTCCTCCTGCCTGACAAAACTATTTTTTAAATTCTCCAAACTGAATTTTTAAATGCCCATATTTTGTAAGGCTAGATTTACCCAGAGCTTGCTCAGACCTGACTGCTAAGATGTACTACAGTAACCTCTTTGTCTTTCTCATTCCAGTTGAAATTACCTTTTTCCTGATTCTTGTTAAGAAGCTCTTCCAAAGTGTTTTCTAAAAAACTGGGATCTGTTCCAGGTTGTTCCTTGGGCAAAACTATACTAACTGGTCTGTGGATTATTCCATCAGCTGCAGCAACATCGTTAGTCGGCTGCCCATCTAAAAAAATGTTCATGCTGAATAAATATTTCCTAAGTGATCCATTATAGGAAGCAAATATAACTCTGGTAGAAGAGCCTAAAAACATATAGGAAAAATTTTTTAATTAGTTTGTAATTTAAAACACAGTGAGTTAAAGATTAACACAATTTTAAAATGTTACGTTACGTACATAGGGAGGAGCTAATGATTTGAGTTTCAGTTCTGATTCTTGCTTTGCCTTTACCTAGAAATAAAGATATGAGAAAAAAATTAAAGCTTTTGTAACATTTTTCAATTACTTTTACCCTTACATCTTTTTTTTTTTTTGCAGAAGGTACATATCTGCAACACAGAAATGAAATTTAAAAGCTGATAACTAAGGCTAGATTCTAGGAAATGTAGATTATAACCCTATTTCTATTCACCATACTAAACACAGAAATTCTATGTTATTTAACAATAATAATTATGGTTATCACTTGCAAGGACTCACTTTATGCCAGGCACTATTCTAAGTGCTTTACATTTATTAGCTTGGTTAATCCCCACAATACAGATCATAGGCACACATAGTATCTGTAGTTCACCATGAGACTGAGGCAAAGAGAAGTTAATTAACTTTCCCAGGATTTTATAACTAGGAAGTTTCCACGCTGGGATTCAAAATCAGCTCATCTGGCTCCAGAGTCCAATCTTGTAAACTTTATTTCCTAAATATTCAACCCATAAAGTTCATTTGTCATTCATTCATTGAACAAATACTCTGAAGGCATACTTTGGGTCACGCAGTGTTCTATACGGTGGGGGAAACAATGGTAAACAATGCAAAATCCCTGCTCTCATGTAGCTTACATTCTACTTGGGAGAGCAGATGTTAAATAAAAATGATTTAGAATAGTGAAAAAATGTGGCTTGTGAAAATAAGACAGCATGATATAATACAGAATAACTTAAAGAAAGAATATCTAAAAACTAGGTGGACAGAGAAGGCCCTTTAGGAAAGATAATACTTGAGCTGAGAATTGAATCAGGAAAAGAAGCCACAAGGTATTAAAAAATCAGGGGGAAGTGATGTCCAGGCAAATACAAAGACCATAAAACAGAAATGATTTGGCCATATTTGAGAACCAAAGAAAGATTTTTGTGGCTGAGGTGTGGAACCAAGTAGATAATTAGAGTAGATGAAATCTGAGAGGCAGTCTATTCCTTAAGCCCTCCTTTTCTCTTGCCTAACCACTGAAGAGCCTCCTGTTTACAATCTCTGCCAGTAGCCTCTGAAGGCTCCTATCATGTCATCTTTTGCTCAAAAACTCTAATGCTTCAGAAGAAAATCCAAACTCTTTAGTCTGGTATGCAAGATCTTCAACAAACTACTTGTTCAGCTTGTTCTCCACTATTCCCTCTCACACAGTCAGTGCGCCAGTAAAAAAGGAACCATGTACTCTTTCTTAGTTGCCCATTTTTCCACTTCTGGGCTTATTCTGTTTTCTCTACTCAGAAAGCTTTTCCAACCCAACATCTTTGCAAGATCAAATATATATCTTTCAAGAGCCAAATTGAATAAAGCTTTTTCCTCAAAGTTCTCCATCTCCTCTCTTTTCCTTGAAGTTCTCTCTTTTTCTTCTGAATATACAAAATATGATCTAATATTTTTTTTCTCCAACACTATACTGAATATTCTTTAAGGATAGGGTCCATATCCAATTCTTTTTTCTCTTTTTGCATATAAAAAACATCAACAGACAAATATTTGTTGAAAATAATGACATATTTAAAGGATTTTAGAAGTTGTCTTAAATTACCTTTAAGGTCCCTTCCAACCAAGGATTCTGTAATTGATATTTTGTAATTTTACATATCATGAAAAAGAAGAAACAGTTAAAAGAGCTGTCCCTTTTCTTCCTTTTTTGAGGAAAACTTAAAGATCAGTTAATTAATATTCTGGCATATTAAATAGAACTAATGACAAAAACACCAAGTCTAGTTGCTGGTCCCAAGAATTTCACAGAAAAATCATCTATATTATTACTTTGTGCAGAATGTTTATCTTTTCCAATGTCATTCATTATTTAATTTGTTCAATAAACATTTAAATACCTCTAAATGCTAAACACTTTGTTAGGCACTGGCTATAAATACAATAGGGAATAATATAAAGTCTCTGCTCACATGGCAGAGTTACATGTTAAACAAAAATCACATAAATACATAGTAATGATATAACATTAACTAGAATGGAATAGGAATATACTGCATTCTTAAAGAGTTTCAATATGGAAAAATCTTGATTAAATAAACCTTATATAGATATGACAAACCTGAAACATTAAGATCTGATGGTTTGCTGGATTAAGAATTTCAGTTAGGAAAATTCTCTACTTAGAAAATCCTGCCACTAAATCATAGCAGCTACAAATAGGAGTGTTCAATAGATAATACAAAAATTTTTAAATGTTGATACAAAAAAAAATGTTGGCGTCACATCGTTTCATACCAAATGAGGCTAGCTGTGGCATAAGCAATGAGAATCCTTATTTCTACAAAAACAACTACTTGTTTAAAAAGCTTTTAACATTGTGATTTATTTAAAAAATGCATTGTTACTTATATGATCACATTTTAAATTTGTCTTCCTTTTCTTCCCAAGGAAATTTACATGCAAAATACCCTCATCGTTTTAATGACCAATAGTATGCCAATAAGACCCATCTTTTCTTGATGATCTGGGTGCATAAGTGATATTTCCACTTCATTTTTATTGAGTTTACTTATCTCATAGCATGTTAAAGAGTTGAGTTGATAAGCATTTAAGAAACATAATTTGTTAAGGTATGCTTGTCATTAACCAGAGGAGAAAAAAAAAATAAGAAAATTTACCACAGCTAGATTGCTTCCAATGGATTTCAGAAACAGAATTTTTTTCTGCAACAGCGTCTTCACCAAGGAACCCATGGAGATGCTCCCTCAGGGCTTGTAAAGTAAGGTGAGGAGATACTCTGAAATAGCATGACATTGCCTTATAATGTAAAACAAAATGTTTCAGCTGTACTAGAGTTTCAATAACTTTAGTCAGCTATCTCAAACATAAAACTAATTTAATGTATCACTTATCGCTTAATATGTTTTTACATTGCCTGACACTTCATAGGCCTTCAGTAAATATTACTCTTTAAACAAATGATTAAAAGTCTGCCTTTTAAAATTATGCAAATGAATAGTTTGTAAAAGTCCTTTTCACACCAAAAAGGAAAATGCTTATCTACTTTTCTTATGCACCTCCAAATTTCATTGTTAAAACAAACCTTTGCTATGGAATTTATATACTTTTATACATATATTAAAGAATGATTTAATCTCAGATATTTATTTTTGAACTTTGACTGGATTAACTAATGCTTAAAAATTTCCTTGATTATCAGTTGTTGTCAGAGTCCATGTCTTTGCTCATTAGGGATAGTTCATTCCTCAACATTTAAAATCTAAAGCTATCACGTATGCCATTGTTCTGAGTTCTCGTTTTCCTAGGATCTTATGGAACACAGAATTAATTTATTCAATCAACAAATATTTATTGAGGACCTACTCTGTGTCGACTATTGTTCTAAGGGGTGGGAATATAACAATAAACAAAACAAATCTTTGCACTTACAGATCTTACAATCTAGCAATGAAGAGAAAAATCATACAGTGTCTTGTGTTTTGTGAATGTGAAAATACATATGTACACACATATAGATGTACATACACATATACATGTATTCTGTTTCTATTTGTAAACAGTTCAGTGCAAAAGTCATTGTGGATATACTATTTTCCCAGCTCTTCAACAAGTTTATAAAATCTGACAAGTTCTCTCTTAATTCTCTTTGTATATAAACATAGTAATATCCAGCTTATACCTTGTTTTCTGGGTGACAGTAACATGGCTAAGTGACATCTTTCCTACAGAATTTTTTATTTAACTGTTATATAGCACTACTTATTGACAGTATTCAGTTATAACATGACCACAAAATACTTGCCTTATAAATCCAGCTGAAATGAATTTGTTAACAACTTCTATTGAAATGGTATTTAACTTATAGTTCCACGATCCTTCACATGAAAAACATGAAGTTCCACCAACTGAATAAATTGAGAACATCAGTTAAAATATTTTTAAAGTGAAAAAAATTGGTTGATGTCCTCTAGAGTTTTAAATTTAATAACCATAATTGAAATAAACATGTAATGCATGCATCCTTCCTAACAAACACAAATAAACAAAATGAAAAGCCAAAATATTGTTCTTAAGTTAGATACTTGGCACTTGGAACCCATCTCCCTTTGGAAACAATGTCATAGATGTGGTCCTAGATTACCCTAACATCTCTGACATACCAGTAGTGCTCTTTCTGTGGCTTGCCATGACAGTGCTAGACTGCCAAGATCAGTTGTTTTATACCAACATTTTCTCTCCCTCAATCCCTACCTATTCAGTTCCCTCGGGGTGACCTTGTGGAGTCCTTATCCTTTACATATTGCCTCCCTAAAACAGTTGTAATGATTATTAGCTCACAGCACCTGCAGAAGTGTGAATATTGTGGTTTGGGAAATGTCTTTGTTTTCCAGAAGTTTAGGTAGAACTTATTCCTGACCAGTGATGGGGAAAGGAATGCTTGTTCTTACACAAGGCCTGATTGTAAGGTTAGCTTATTTTTACCATCTTGTTTTCTATTATTATTTTGTTATGACCTCAATTACAATCTATTCAGAAGAATATTTTGATTATTATAACAGAAACAGAACAATTACAGCAAATACAGCCTTATTGTTTAGTCTAATGAAGTTTGATACTGCATATTGAAAGCCAAAGCACTTAAATAATTATACTCTACAATTTAAAATCTGAAAACTTAAAAAATTTAAAGTAAATATGACCTATTAATATTAGTAAATTTATAGGCAATGAGAATGATTCTTGATCTGAATGTTTTGCTCAAGTTGTTTTTATATACCAAGTAAATTACTTCTATACATTTGGTGACAGAATGTTAAGCAACAATTTAAGATGTTTGTATAGCTCTGATAGTGAAGTTTGCCATATGCTGTATTTTGAACACCAGAGCATTTAGATAATTCCTTAGATATACTATATATTAATAGTTCACACTATACTATTAAAACTATAATATTTAATAGATACACTATCAAAATTTGTAAAACCTGCAGAAGTCTGAGATAAAAATAACCCTACTGTTTGTATAAATGTATTAATATTTTACAGGAGAAAAATATTTCTTGAACTAAACATTTTACCCTGTTTTTATAAACCAAGTAAATTACTTCAAAAATTGTTATAATAATTCATGAACTATAATTTAAGCTGTTTGTAAAGACTTAAATTCCATAACTAAATGGGTAGGCAATATAAAGAAAATAAAGTCAATAAAACATTTCTTGGCCTCTGAAATATTTTTCCATGTAAATTAAATTATGATGAATTTTTATGTATTTATTCATTCAACAAATATTTACTGAGTGGCTACTATCTGCCAGCACATTCTAGGCACTAAGAGATATACATTGAAGAAAACAAAGATGCTTGCCTACATGTAGTTTACATTCTAATGAGGTATCAGACAAGAGGGTGAGGATAGTGATGCACCTACCTCAAGTGCAAAATTTAAGGGGGCACCAAAACCTCAGTAATCAAGTAACATTAAAAAAAACCTATTCCATGCAAAAAATTCATGAAGAGCAAAATTTCATAAATTTAAATACAGTACTAATGGACTCTGAGGCCAAAGGCAAAATATGAATCCCTATATACATATTTCTAAAAAAATACATTTTTAAATGGCTAATTTATTACAAAATGACACAGTAGTTGAAAAAATATTAAAAAGTATATATTAAAACTCACATTATTTAAAGGATAAATATTACATTTATATCAAAACCTGAATTTATTATAATTTTACTTTCCTGGCTTTAATGAAAGCAAACTCATCAGTAATATTTTCATTAAACTATTAACCATTTTAAAAATACATATTTTGCCTTTTACCTCAGGCTCCCAAATGGCTATGTATAGCACTATTGATTCCTATTTTTGCTTAAAATGTTACCTTGTTCATCATGGATTTTTGCATTAATTCATTTTTTAAAATCTTGTATTAAAATATTTATCTTAATTACTGAATTTTTTGATGCCCCTTTAACTTTTGTACCCAAAGAAAGTAACTCATTTGCTTTAGATTAGTCCCTGCCCTGTGAGGGACATAGACAGTAAACAATAAATATAAAACACTGATAAATTATGTAGTACATTAGAAAGTGGTAAGTAGTACAATAATAGAACAAGTAGAGCAAGGTAAAGAAAATTGGAATGATAAATGAGGGAGCAGGTTTCAGTTTTAAATAAAATAGTCCAAATAGGTTTCATGTAAAAACTGAGATCTGAGTAAAGACTTGCATGTAAAGAAGGAATTAGCCAAGTGAAGATATAGAGGGAACAAGTTCAGGGAAAGGCTAAAGCAAAGGCCTTAGGGTGAGACAGTACAAGTACAACTGAAACAGAAAGACTAGGGGAGAGAATAGTAGGAGATACGGTAAGAAAAATGAGGAAGATGGAGGACAAATTAAATAGGGCCTTCCAGGCTATTGTAAGAGCTTCATCTTACAAAATGGGAAGCCAAATACAGGATTTTAATAGAAGCATCACAACATCTGACATTTTGTGTTTTTATTGTTTGAATATGAAAAATTCTAAACACACATACAAATGAAAGGAAAGGAATGCTATGAATGTTCAAAAACCTACTATTTAGATTCAAAAGTTTACAACGTGCCACATTTACTTTCTTTCCCTCTGTCTTGTTCTCGATAAGCCATTCAAAGTAAATCAGACATCATGACAAAATACTCCTAGTTTGGCATCTATCTCCTAAAACTAAGGATTTCTCTAACATAATCAAATCATCATTTTCACATATAAGAAAATGACCAATTCTTTAATGTCAACTAATATCTATTTTATTCAAATTACCCCAGTTGTCCAATTGTCCTCACAATGTTTTTTCAATCTAGAATTCAAACAAGGATAACATATTCCATTTGGTTGTTATGTCTTTTTAAAAACCTTAGTGTGGAAGAGTTTTTCAGTTCTTTTTTTCTCTTCCCTACATTTTAAAGGGACTGGGCCAGTTCTCATAGAATGTTCTGCATTCTGAATTTACTTTATTAACTCCTTAAGATGTCACTTAACTTTTTTCTACAATCACACTATCTCTTATAAACAGTTAACTGTATAGCCTGCAACTGACATAAATCACTAATCTGGGGCAAGGATGCTTTGTAAATAGTGCTCTGTATTTCCTATTGCTTCACATCAAGATGCACATGATACTCTACTTCCAAATCTTGCTGTATTTCATAACTATTAAAGGGATAATAGAACAGGCTACCAGGGACCAGAAAAGGGAAACTGTTAAAAATCCATCTGAATAATTAAAATGTGAGATGATGCTGGCTCAGGCCAATGTGTTAGCAACAGCAGTGATGGGAAGTGGTCACATTTTGTATATAATTTGAAGCTAGGGTCAATCCATGGGAAATGAAGTTTGAGAAAGGAGTCAAGTACAACTTCAAGGTATTTGGCCTCAGATACTGAAAGGATGGATTTGTTATGATCTGAGAAGGAGAAATTCAGTGTAGTACAGGGCCTGGGGAGGGGAGAAAGATCCATAGTTCACTTTCAGATATATTAAATTTGAGATGTTTATTGGACATCCAACCGGAGATGTCAAGTAGGCAGCTGAAAATATGAATCTGGAGTATGGGAAAGAGGACTGGGATGAGAATACAAATTGGGGAATCCTTTGCATAAGGTGGGTATTTAAAGCTTTTAGACTGGATGAGATCACCAAGGAATGAATGCAGATAGAGAACAAAGAGCTGACCCCTGAAATTCTCCAATATTAAGAGACCAGGAAAAAGACCCAGCAAAGAAGGCTGACAATGAATAACAAGGAAGGTAGAAGGAAAATCAAGATAATATGTATGTTAAAAGCCAAGTAAAGAAAGTATGTAAATGAGAGAGATTGCTTGGCAGTGTCGACTGTTATGCACAGACAGATCAAGTATGTGTGGGATAAAGACTGAACAATAGATTTAGTAGTACAGGTGAATTTAAAAAGAGCAGTTTTGATAGAGCAGTGGAGTGAAAGCTTGATAGAAGTTCATTTAAGAAGAAAATGGGAAGAAGGTATCGAGGGATTTGAGAAGGTATGAAATAGTTGTCTAGAACAATGGAAAGGTGAATGAGTAAATGAGTAAATGGAAGATAGTCTTACTGCTGACCAGGAAAAGGTTTCACTTGAGGTTCATGGTCATGAATTTTAAAGTGAGAAAAATCTTTACGCTGGCATATTTTCTACAGCCATGCTCTGCTGTAGGTATAGGTGTGGAATAGGTGAATAATTGGATCAACTAAGGTTTTTGTTTTGCCAAGGAGTACAATGAAATGAGAGAGGTGCAAGGACTCAAAAATATGTGCAGGACAGTGATCAAGACTGCCCTGTGGTATTTAAGTCAGTTATGGAGGGCATCATTAGGTGAAAATAATAATAATTTTTTAAAAATGGAGAGAGGAAAGGGGAAATAGAATGTAATGTATTCATTCTAGGAGACTTCAACACCCCACTCACTCCAAAGGACAGATCAACCAGACAGAAAATAAGTAAGGAGACAGGAGCATTCAGCAACACATTAGAACAGATGGACCTAACAGACATCTACAGAACTCTCCACCCAAAAGCAGCAGGATACATATTCTTTTCAAGTACACATGGAACATTTTCTAGAATAGACGACATACTAGGCCACAAAAAATGGCTCAGTAAATTAAAAAAGATTGAAATTCTACCAACCAACTTCTCAGATCACAAAGATATAAAACTAGAAATAAATTGCACAAAGAAAATGAAAAGGCTCACAAACACATGGAGGCTTAACAAGATGCTCCTAAATAATCAATGGATCAGTGACCAAATTAAAACAGGCATCAAGCAATATATGGAGACAAATGACAACTACAGCACAAAGCCCCAACTTCTGTGGGACGAGGTGAAGGCAGTTCTAACTGGGAAGTATATAGCAATCCAGGCCTCTTTAAAGAAGGAAGAACAATCCCAAATGAATAGTCTAAATTCACAATTATTGAAACTGGAAAAAGAAGAACAAATGAAGCCCAAAGTCAGCAGAAGGAGGAACATACTAAAGATCAGAGAAGAAATAAATAAAATTGAGAAGAATTAAACAATAGAAAAAATTAATGAAACCAAGAGCTGGTTCTTTGAGAAAATAAACAAAATAGATAAACCCCTAGCCAGTCTCATTAAGAAAAAAAGAAAATCTATACATATAAACAGAACCAGAAATGAGAAAGGAAAAATCATGATGAATATCACAGAAATAAGAAGAATTAGTAGAGAATACTATGAAAATCTATATGCTAATAAACTGGATAACCTAGAAAAATGGACAACTTGCTATAAAAATACAACCTTCCAAGACTGAACAAGGAAGAAACAGAAAATCTAAACAGACCAATTACCAGCAATGAAATTGAATCGGTAATCAAACAACTACCCAAGAACAAAACTCCCAGGCCAGATGGATTCACCACTGAATTTTATCAGACATATAGAGAAGACATAACACCCATTCTCCTTAAAGTTTTCCAAAAAAAATAGAAGAGGAGGAATTACTTCCAAACTCATTCTATGAGGCCAGCATCACTATAATACCAAACCAGGCAAAGACAACACAAAAAAGAAAATTACAGACCAATATACCTGATGAACATAGATGTAAAAATACTCAACAAAATATTAACAAAACAAATTCAAAAATCCATCAAGAAGTTCATACACCATTATGAAGTGGGATTCATCTCTGGGATGCAAGGATGGTACAACATTTGAAAATCCATCAACACCATCCACCACATCAACAAAAAGAAGGACAAAAACGACATGATCATTTCCATAGATGCTGAAAAAGCACTTGACAAAATTCAACATCCATTCATGATAAAAACTCTCAACAAAATGGGCATAGAGGGCAAGTACCTCAACATAACTAAGGCCATATATGACAAACCCACAGCCAGCATCATACTTAACAGGGAGAAGCTGAACACATTTCCTCTAAGAATGGGAACAAGACAAGGATGCCCACTCTCCCCGCTTTTATTCAACATAGTACTGGAGGTCCTAGCCACAGCAATCAGACAAAACAAAGAAATACAAGGAATTCAGATTGGTAAGGAAGAAGTCAAACTGTCACTGTTTGCAGATGACATGATATTGTACATAAAAAACCCTAAAGAATCCACTCTAAAACTACTAGAGCTAATATCTGAATTCAGCAAAGTTGCAGAATACAAAATTAATGCACAGAATCTGCGGCATTCCTATACACTAACAATGAACTAGCAGAGAGAGAAATCAGGAAAATAATTCCATTCACAATTGCATCAAAAAGAATAAAATACTTAGGAATAAACCTAACCAAGGAAGTGAAAGACTTATAACCTGAAGACTATAAGACACTCCTAGGAGAAATTAAAGTGGATATTAATAAATGGAAATTCATCCCATGCTCTTGGGTAGGAAGAATTAATATTGTCAAAATGGCCATCCTGCCTAAAGCAATCTATAGATTCAATGCATTCCCTATCAAAATACCAAGAGCATTCTTCAATGAACTATAGAAAATAGTTCTGAAATTCATATGGAACCACAAAAGACCCCAAATAGCCAAAGCAATCCTGAGAAGGAAGAATAAAGCACAGGAGATCTTGCTTCCCAACTTTGAGCTCTACTACAAAGCCACAGAAATCAAGACAATTTGGTACTGGCACAAGAACAGACCCATAGGCCAGTAGAGCAGAATAGAGAGTCCAGATATTAACCCAAGTATATATGGTCAATTAATATATGATAAAGGAGCCATGGATATACAATGGTGAAATGACAGCCTCGTCAACAGCTGGTGTTGACAAAACTGGACTGCTACATGTAAGAGAATGAAGCTGGATTACTGTCTAACTCCATACACAAAAGTAAACTCGAAATGGATCAAAGACCTGAATGTAAGTCATGAAACCATAAAACTCTTAAAAGATAATATAGGCAAAACTCTCTTGAATATAAACATGAGCAACTTCCTCATGAACCTATCTCCCTGGGCAAGGGAAACAAAAGCAAAAATGCACAAGTGGGACTATATCAAACTGAAAAGCTTCTGTACAGCAAAGGACACCATCAGTACAACAAAAAGCATCCTACAGCATGGGAGAATATATCCATAGATGACATATCCGATAAGGGGTTGACATCCAAAATATACAAGGAGCTCATGCACCTCAACAAACAAAAAGCAAATAACTCAATTAAAAAATGGGCAGAGGATCTGAACAGACACTTCTCCAAAGAAGAAATTCAGATGGCCAACAGACACATGAAAAGATGCTCCACATCGCTAGTCATCAGAGAAATGCAAATTAAAACCACAATGAGATATCACTTCACACCAGTTAGGATGGCAAACATCCAAAAAACAAGCAACAACAAGTGTTGGCAAGGATGTGGAGAAAGATGAACCCTCTTATACTGCTGGTGGGAATGTAAGTTAGTTCAACTATTGTGGAAAGCAATATGGAGGTTCCTCAAAAAAATAAAATTAGAAATACCATTTGACCCAGGAATCCCACTCATTGGAATTTACCCAAAGAATGCAACTTCTCAGATTCAAAAAGACATATGCACCCCAATGTTTATCACAGCACTTCTTGTAATAGCCAAGAAATGGAAGCAACCTAAGTGTCCATCAGTAGATGAATGGATAAAGAAGATTGGTACATATACACAATGGAATATTATGCAGCCATAAGAAGAAAACAAATCCTACCATTGCAACAACATGGATGGAGCTAGAGGGTATTATGCTCAGTGAAATAAGCCAGGCAGAGAAAGACAAGTGTCAAATGATTTCACTCATCTATGGAGTATAAGAACAAAGAAAAAACTGAAGAAACAAAATAGCGGCAGACTCTCAGAATCCAAGAATGGACTAACAGTTACTGAAAGGAAAGGGACTGGGGAGGATGGGTGGGAAGGGAGGGATAAGGGGGAAAAGGGGCATTATGATTAGCACACATAATGTAGGGGGTGGGGAAGGCAGTAATATAGCACAGATAAGACAAGTAGTGATTCTACAGCATTTTACTGCACTGATGGACAGTGATTGTAATGGGGTATGTGGTGGGGACTTGACAATGGGGGGAATCTAGTAACCACAGTGTTGTTCATGTAAGTGTATATTAATGGTACCAAAATAACTAAGTAAATTTTTTAAAAAGGTGATAGGATAAATTCATTGGAGGCCACAGTACAATTGAGGTATTTAAAGGGTGAGCTAGAGATACAAGAACTGTAATCAGACAAAAGGATACATGAAGTTGGATTGTGGTAGTATTAATAATTTATATAATTCATATTTTTGCTTTATCAAAAATTTTCAAAAACAATGATAGGCAGATGTTTTTTACATTTTCAGTATAAAATAATTTTCTTACCTCTAATGAAGAAGGTCAGCTTGGATTGAAGAACATAGCCAGCCATGTCTGAATGGGATAATTGTCAGTTGGTATTTTGTGGGTTTTTTTAATCTTTCTTCATTTAAGTTATATTTAACGAAGGGTATGACAGATGTTTGACTTGTTTAAGACAGCATTCCACTCATTTCTGGTTTTTGTTTAATGCAAAAAGTGAAAAGCAAAACATAAAAGGCTTTAAAATAGACTCTAAATGTAAATTTAGGAATGCATATGACCTTATTACAATAATTCAAAAAGACATATTACTAGTAAATAGGGCTAGTAATTACAACAAAACAAACATACATCCTATACAATTAAGTAAATATTATAATAGACTTGTGACCAGGGCATATTTTACTATTTTAAACAATTCATTTTCTCCTGGCAAAAAATTAAGGTTAATATGTATAGTATTTTACATAAAGGAGAAATCTACTTTTGGAAGCGTTAAGATTAAATTTATGCAAATGGCTGAAGAATGAAGAAAACTGTTTTTCTATATATAGTTCTTCCTGGACTTGGATACCTCAATAACAATAAGTGTGAACAATTATTCCACATAAAAATGCCAGTCATGAAGTATAAAAGGGCTACATTTGTGCATATATATATATAAAATGAAAGTTGAAAAATAGCTGAATTATTACTCTAAAAAGGCAGCATCAAAGTATGATAATTCTTAAAAATACACTATTATACCAACAGCACAGCAGAAGCTTTTTCAAGATTTCAATTGCTCCATTGTGATTTATATTAATATAGTGATTTAAATACAATGAAACTAAAAATTTCTATAATCTGGTACTGATTACAGCTCTATGAAACTCTACCAGAGACCACTAATTTTTCTAATGCTATCAAAAGTAAAAGATATATGCTGGGACATACAATCTTTTAAGTCAAATTAGTTTCACATATTACTTCCTATATAAACTTATTACAATAAATTAAAATTTAAAATGTGATTTGTCATTTTACTTCAAACTCTATTTTAAATACATTAATATTTTAAGGAAACCATTAAATATTTCCATCTCTGTATCCAAAGGCCCTTTCTACCATTGTACTAATATTACTATTATGAACCTAAATGAAGCACAACTTTGATAACATAAATGGTAACTTCCTTATTATTAGGTAAGAATTAGTGGTAACAAGCTATAGTAATTCAGTACATGGGCATTCATTAACTGGGAAAGCTGGGAAGCTAGAATTTTTAATTTCTGTGGAAATATTAGAAACTTTATATTTTAATTCAGAACAAATTTTTGATTAAACAAACTCAAGACAGATCAATCAAGACCTGCTTTACTATTGCCTTAAGGTAAGCTGATCCCCTGTACTATCCCTTCCAGAGGAACTGCAAAGAAGTCATGTTTTGAACTACACTCCCTTTGTCATTTCTGACTGGATAAATGCTGAAGACCAAATCATGGCTGGCCAGAGACATGGCCAGAGACAACAGCATGGCATGAAAAGATGAGACCTCAGGAACTAAAACTGGGAAAACTCACTACACAAGTACATAGTAGATACTGAAGCAAAAAGGTAGAAAGAGAAGTCATGTAGTAGTATCGCAGCCATGAAGCAAGCCCATGTTATGAGAAAGCTATACTTATTTTGTAAATACATGTAAAAAAGAGGCAAAAAATAGTAAGAATGACTAAGTGAACTGGTGGTGAGAAGCAAACAGCAGATACATGGGTGATTCATGTTTATAGCTAAGCCCTGGAAAGAAGAGTTAATTTATTTTTTGCTGTTGAGGTCCCTAGTCTTGCATCTATTCCCAGTTTGGAACAGTGCATTCAGTGCAACAGCTCTTATTTGTGGGATTTCCATGGGATAACTATCTCTACAACATCACTGTGTTGATGTTTACAGTAATCTCTTCATTGCATGAGGTAAGTTGAGTCAGTCTTTGCTATCAAAACCAAAAGAGGATTCATTGGCCTCTGTAGGCATTCTTAGAATTTGCTGTTGATCCTAACCAAATCAAATTTCATGTAGTAACTTCTAACATATAATCTTTGAGATTTTCCAATTCTTTACCTATTACTAATTAGGTAATGAACCAAAGAATGCCATTTCAAATGAAAGTATACTGACTGATGACTTGATGACCAAAGAGAAAGCAACTATAGAAGTTCCAGTCTAATCTCTCGTTTATTGCATAATTTCACTTTATGACCTGACAGTAATAGAAAATTGGCTTTATCTTGCATACTAAATCCCATCAACTGGTTTTAGCTGCATAAAAGTGAATTACTGGAAAGGATCCTAAGACCATACCAAACTTCAGTAGGAAAGAGTGCAGGGTTATCATAGTCATTTATGGTTTGGGAAGGGAGTAACTGTTGGTAGGTAAATCACTTATTTGCCATCTCTGATCCAGTCACTACTATAAAGAGAATTAGCTATCATGCTTTCTTTGCACTTTTCCAAAATGATTTTATGAGTCACAGCAGAGCTGAAAATCAAATTTAAGAATTTCTGATAGTCTGTTCAGTGTCTGGAAATAAGAATTTTGGTAATTTTTATTTTATGTCTCATTTGATAGTACATGCAGAGATGCTCAGTGGACTTTCAGAAACCCTAAAAAAATACTAAATTTGGGAACCTGAAATGGGCTCCTTTAAACATAGCAACGTAGTAGAACATCACAAAATTTAGATGGATTGGGAGGTAAAGAAGCAGGTTTCTGGGCCTGTATTACCCATAAGACTATTCATTCACTCTAAACCTCGCTTCTTAATTTGCCAAGTGGCTTGGACTCTTT